TCAAGACTGGTTTGCCCATGATGGTACCTGGGGAGTGACCTCCCTGCCCTTCTCTTGACCAGCTTTTCCAGCTGATTTTCTCCCCCATGCCATGCTGTGGAAGAAGGGGGGTGAGGGCAGCTGGGTGGGCATCCAGCAACCCACCACATCTCTCCCAGCTCAGTGGCTCTTGCAGGAAGCTCCTGCTGTGCCAGAGATCCCTGTGGCAGCTCTGCTCCATCCCTGGGGCAGCTCTGCTCCATCCCTGCCATGCACAGCTCCATCACCGGGCCACTTTTCCTGGGATGAGGCTCTGAGCACGTTTTCCATGCAGGAAACAACCCAGGCTCCTTGGGAGGCTCAAAGGATCCTGGTGGTGACTGTTCCACCCTCAGGATGCCAGTTATTGCCCCCAGTTTGGTGCTGGAGCCAGTTCTGCAGCTCAGCACAGCTCAACTTGTCCCCACTCCACTGCTATTCCCTCCTGGCTGTGCTTGCTGAGGAGCACAATAAGGAATTAGTCCCTGCCTGGGCTCTTGAAACTGTGAAACACTTGCCTATAACAGTAAAACTTGGAATTACAATAGCCAGGAAAGACATTTGGGGAGCTATTACCCATCAGGTCTCAGAGTCACCAGATGTGACTGAAATAAGAAACTCCTCCCCTGGAAAGCTCCTGGGGTTGCAGGATCTCTCTCTCTCTGTGTTATTCCCCCTTGTGTTGGAGGAAAAACACTTGACTCAGAGGCTCAGGGTGGCTGTTCCAGGGAGTGATTCCTGCCTGGCTCCCAAGTAAACATTTGGCAGTTTAGGAGCCCCTGGAGCCAGTGCCCAGGTTATTATTTTCCCTGCCTTGTGCAGGATCTCAGCTCCAAGTGGGATCCAAAGCACTTGGGCCAAACTCTCAGCTGGAGTTTGAATGAATAACCCAAACCAGCTGTTGGGAAGGAACTGAGCCTTTTTTTCTTTGCTGCCATAAATTCCTACATGGGCAGGTGTTTACCACAGTCACCCCCATGGGATGGGACACTGAACCCACTTGCTCCTGACAGGATATCCTGGAGAACTGCAGAATGCTGAGCTGGGCTCTGAAGCTCATCACTCTGCTCTGGTATTTTATCTGACTGTTCCTAGAAGGATGAGGTCACTTTGCTCCACAGCTCCTCACTCCCACCAGTCCTCACTAAAATCCCAGTCCCACCAGTCTTGACTTCACTGGACACCTGGAGGAGCTGAGCAGCTTCCCTGGTTCCAGAGGGTTGTGTGGCTCCTGCTTGTAGGAATCTTTAAAGCCATAACTAATTTGTGGATTTTTTTCCATTTATAAGAACAAAGATTCCAGGAACCACTTCTCCCAATACACAGGACCAACCCCCCAACAAAAAAAAGAGCTCAACCCCTCACCTTTACTGGGCTGATGGGGCTAGAAGGGTTTATTTATGTCCCTAAAACTGGCACAAAGCTTTTCTGATGTTTAAAGGACTCTTCTGGTTTGGCAGCGACAGGGAATGACCCTTCATCCTTCCTGCCCACGTCCTTGGAAATCCAGCTGAGATTCCTAATGGCCACACACGCTTTTCCCAGTCCCCAGCCCAACAAAGGATGGCTTCTCATCTGCCAAGAGGAGCTGCAGAGGTTTCTGATGCCTCATTTCCCCCTGCCCAGTGGAGTGCTCAGTCTGTGCCCAGCAGCAGAGGAGTGCCCAGATTGCTCCGTGCCCGAGCAGAGGCTTTGCAGTGAAACCTCTGACTTTGAAACAAGAGTTTCACTTCATTTGAGGGCTTAGAGGGAACTTTCTGGAAGTTCTGCTCCCTGCCCAGGGCAGCACAAAGGGCAGCAGCAGGGGAAGAGCTCACTGTGGGCTCCAGAGGCTGGTCCATGACTCAGGGCCCTGAGGGACACCAGGGACAAGTGATGTCTGCCAGGGGGCTGTTTTGGGATCAGTGTTATTTAATATCTTCATGAATGACACAGGTGAAGGGATCAAGGGCCCCCTCAGCAGGTTTGCAGGGTGAGGCTGCAGTGACACACCTGGAGGGTGGGACCATCCCTCTGCACAAGCTCCAGAAGTGGCCCCTGGGAATCTCCTGAGGTTTAACAAGGCCAAGTGCTGCTGCTGCACCTGGATCAGGGCAATCCCAGGATCAACCCAGGCTGGGGATGAGCAGATGGAGCAGCCCTGGGAGAAGGACCTGGGGGAGAGGCTGCACATGACCCAACCCTGTGCCCTGGGCTGATCCCCCAGCGTGGGCAGAGGGCAGGGGGGGATCCTGCCCCTCTGCCCCCTCAGCTGAGACCCCCCTGCAGAGCTGCTCCAGCCCTGGGAACAGCACAGGGAGGACATGGAGCTGCTGGAGAGAGTCCAGAGGAGGCACCAGAGGGATGGAGCAGCTCTGCTGGGAGGGAAGGTTGGGAGAGCTGGGGGGGTTCAGCTGGAGAAGAGAAGGCTCCAGGGAGACCTAATTGTGGCCTTGCAGGACCTGAAGAGGCTACAAGAGAGCTGGAAAGAGACCATTTACAAGGGCCTGGAGGGACAGGACAAGAGGGAATGGCATCAAACTGCCAGAGGGCAGGGTTAGATGGGATATTGGGAAGGAATTGTTGGCTGTGAGGGTGGGGAGGCCCTGGCACAGGTTGCCCAGAGAAGCTGTGGCTGCCCC